GGCTCCCTGCTCCGCGGGAAGCCTGCTTCTCCTTCTCCCACGCCCCCTGGCTTGTGTTCCCTCTCTTGCTGTGTCTCTGTCAAATAAAATCTTAAAAAAAAAAAAAAAAAGTCTGGAACATGACAAATCATAGACATATTATTTATACTAATTCCTAAGCACTGCAGACCAGTTTAAAACAAAGGCAATTCTGACATATACTGTGATGTCTAATAAATTCCTAAAGAGAAAGGTATAAAACCTCCCTTCCCTTAAAAAATCCTTAGTGTAATATGTTGTTCTGATTAAGGAAAGGCAATTTAAGGTGAACCCGTATGATCCAGGTCTTCTCACCTGTTCACTAATAACTTGGAATTCTCTCATTTCATCCTCAGTTAAGGGAGCACATGTTTCATCATTCTCACTGTCTTCTTGCCAGCCCATCTCCTTTAACAATCTGAAAAGAAGGTAGGTAATAGGAAATAGGTAAATTCAGAGCTTCACCCAAGTAGGATAATACCATTTACACTGTGTGCAAGAAAACACCATCCAGATCCATTATACAAAGTCCTCAAGACAAAAGAACTTGTTGGGGCGCCTGGGTGGCTCAGTCGTTAAGCGTCTGCCTTCAGCTCAGGTCATGGTCCCAGGGTCCCCGCATGTGCTCCCTGCTAGGCAGGAAGCCTGCTTCTCCCTCTCCCATTCCCCTGCTTGTGTTCCCTCTCTCACGGTCTCTCTCTCTCTGTCAAATAAATAAATAAAATCTTAAAAAAAAAAAAGAACTTGTTTACTCTGTGCTTCCAATCTTTCTGAAAATGAAAAGGTAGTTAGATAAGATTAAGAATGAACTGTGCAATTGCTTTAACTTTGTTGTCAGAGGTTCTCCAGGCTGGAAATTTGCATAAGGGTCTCTAGCTCAGAAACTAGAAAAAAAAAAATTGTTAAAAACTTAAACTAAAAGTAAAAGCAATAATCCTCCTGGTTTTAATATCATCACAATCTATCATATTCTTAGCTACTCATTAGGTTTTTTACTTTGAAAAGGCTGAGCTATCTTATCCTCTACCTTGCATTTTATAGTGTATTTACCTGTTGATATCACCTCTAAGGTGTATGCCAGTCATCAACCTCAACACATATTTCAATGTGAAAGGAGCACTGTTGTTCTACAGTAACAGAAAGACCACTTTTTTAAAAGCTCTTAACTAGGATCTAAGTAAGTAAAATAAATACAGTTATTCTGTTTTCCTTCCATCCTAGGCAAAGAGAGCTTTAAAAAAAAAAAAAAAAAAAAATCACATGCACTCCATTTTCAGGGAACCAATGATTTCTCTCCAGTCAGGCAAATATGAAAATCATAGTCATAGCTGATACATTTGACTCAACTATTTCAAAGTTTGTTTCTTATATGGCCACATATATTGTATTGGTCTGTACTGGTTTTTTTAATAATTATCTCTCTTAAGTATGTTACTTTATTTATACCTACTCATCTTTCAACTTGAGCCTGCCACAAAGATCTTGTACCTTTTCAAATAATCTCACAGAATATCAGTGCTCAGAGAATCTGAATAAAATTTAACACAACACCCATATTTTACATGTAAAGAATCAAGATGATGTAAGTAAAATAACCTGCCTACTTGATGGCAAAGAAGCAAAGAGAATTCTGGTTTTCTCCTTCCAAGTTAGTTTATATTGCACCAAACCCTCTAGATCAAAATGTCACAATCGTTGTCAATTACTATTTCTCTCATTCCTTTTAATCATTTAACACTTCTTTTCCAACACACCGTCTTCACTCTTTTAACCTAGACAGCTTCCTATGGAATGGCATTTTCATTCCCAATGCCACCTAGTTCATAGTCTAGAGATCTAGACTGGTAAAACAATCTATTTTTGCTAGATCATTTGTTTCACAATTAAAAACTGAATGTTAACTAAACAATAATGCAAATGAAACAAATTATTTCAAATTGTATATAAGACAAGCATTCCTAAATGTCCAATCTCATACCTTTCCCTTTCCTTCCAGTAGGTGTAACGGTTAACTGTTTCTGGAATAGCTTTCAAAACAAATACTTTGCCCCACAGTTAGTAATATACTGTGACAGTGATCTGTACCTTTGTTTTTTCATTAGCGTTTCTCCTCATTCTCTCAAACTATTACCAAGTCACCCATACACATAACACTTTCATGATACCCTCTGCTAAGTGTTTCCAATTGCTTCCCACTTCCTAAAGAACAAACTCCTTAACTTTAACACCATTACCACAAATTCAAATTTCTTACATTAGAAAAAGCATAAGTTTAGAAGCAGAGGACTTCCTACTCTATCACACACAGGTATATAAGCCAAAGGCAAATTCCTTCACTTCCCTGAACTATTTCTTCAAATGAAGAAGCTTGAATAGATCTCGAAGGCCCTGCCTCTTCAATGTCATCTCTAATTCCATTAAGGACTACACACTCCCTCCCTCAAGACACCTCACTCACTGCCCCTAAAACAAACTAGGTTATGTATTGAACCCTAAATATCCCTTTCACACCCCCTTGTTGTCCTATTAATGTCTCACCTTTAAAGATTTAATTTAGCTCTGAATTACTCCTTCTGATTGGTACTCAAGCCATGAGATCTATCCCAAACTCCCTTGAATTTCTCTGGCACTCATTTGATGCTTTCAACAACTACCCTCCCACCCCCACCCACCTGCTTAATGTTCAGGCTACCCTCACTATCCTGATGATATACTGAAACTTGACAACAAAACTAAGAATATATGTGTTTTTAATATTTTATATGTTTATTTTTCATTTGAAGTTTTAGTTTACACATGTGAACTAAGAATTGTCATCCTTAAGAACTATATCACTGGCACCTGATTTGTTAAATTCAACCTATGCAAGTACTTAATACGCACATAACTTAAGAATCACAAAGTTTACAGGAAACCTGAAGCCAGGGAAAAGAAATATCACTCCATTTTCAGAGAAATAAAACCTAAAATCTAAAAGAAGGCATTAACTTTGTTACCTCAAAAAAAAAGTAATAATATGTATCTGTAGAACACTTAGAAACATACAGTATACAAAGCACAAAGAAAACTCAAGCTAAGAAATTTAAATTAAAATGGTTCCCAAGTAGTAACACATTTACTTCCTCTTTTTATTGATTTGGGATCCTTTTTAGCATGTGCAACATTTCCACAAAATAATATAAAGTCTTTAAAACAGAACAAAACAAAGACATAAAATGAAATATTCATTCAGGTAGTCATCACTGATAATCTCTTTATGCAGCATGGGTTCCCCACCAACCATCCTAGAGTTTATTCCAATTTTGGATCTCCTCTTCTTGCTCTATTTGGCTTAGTTCCTAAATCCTATTCTCTCAATTTTCTGTTACTGGTCAGCAGAGGACCAAACTCTGTCAAGGTATGGAACTTGTCAAGTCTCTCTTCTCTGCATCTTCATGAACCAAAGAAGAAACCACCAAAATGCTTTCTACACTATGTCTGCAGATGAAGAAATAATAACATTAAATCATTCATTATAGGTATTGGGGTTATAAGAGTATTTTCTAAGTAACTGTGGCTCAACCTTCTTTTGCCACAAAATACTGAAGGCAAATACAAAAACAAAAAGGTACTCAAGTTTTGACTTGACTATTTAGTAAAGTTTCAACTTTTACTACAGCCTTAACAGTTTCTACAAGTAATTATTTTCATTCTTTTATTGCCTATGCTGTATTTCCCTAAAACAGATTTTTAGAATTCATCTTTTACTATCATTAGAACATATGGTTTGTACACTTTCTCTGCACAAGACTTATTCTTTTCTATCAACTGCCTGACTAGAAATATTTAAATGACTACTGGTGAGAATGGGAACTGGAAAAACATCTTTGGGTACTAACATGGCAGAATCTGATTAATTATGTGTGCCATTTGACCAATCAACTTCATTCCCAGTAGTCTGTTTTATACACACACAAATGTTTAAGGATATAATAAAGGATATTCACATGAGCACTTTTTTTTTTTAAGATTTTATTTATTTATTTTGAGAGAAAAAGAGTGCAAGCAGGGGGAGGGGCAGAGGGAGAGAATGAATCTCGAGCAAACTCCATGCTGACCACAGAATGCGACAAGAGGCTTGATCTCACGAACCTGAGATCATGACCTGAGCCAAAATCAAGAGTCAGACACTGAACTAACTGAGGTATCCAGATGCCTCACACGAGCACTACTTGTAAAAAAGAAACACAGGGAAGGATCCCTGATCAGTAGGTAAATAGTTTCATGAATTATATCCATACTACAGAATAGTGGCTTCAAAGGAGGTATACAATGTTTCTACTAGAATGGGAAAAAATACTGAAATGTCTACTTACACCTATCTTTTCAAAAAGGAGTTTCTGCACGTATGACATTGCAACCATTACTTGGCCTACGATCAGAGTCACAAGTCATAAACTGTATCATGAGGTAAAGGGAATCCTACCCTTGGGTGGGAATAAAAAGTGTGGTTACTGATCCATTCATACTAAATGCATAGTAACAAAATACAGTTTTGCCCAAACAAGTAAATTTAAAGATACTACCTAGTTAAGTTAGCTTAAAATTAATCTAGTTAAATTAACTCTCATCAAATGGGCATTCACATTTATCATCCACCCAATAAATTATTTGTAAAAGGAAGTCCAAGTTGGTACAGGAGGATTACAAAATTAAAACAAATGCCTATATTCTCATATACAATAGTTATAGCCACATCTAAAAAGAGCAAGACATGGTCTGGTAAAGGGGAACAAAAACCATCATGGAGATAAAGAATAATGTATGAATTGGGCCAGAAAGACAAAGACATAAAGGGGTCTTTAATATAAATTTTTAAAAGTTATTCCACAGTAGGTATAAGCCTATGTCCCCACTGTCCTAGAATTAAATGAAGTTCTAAGAGAAATGGCATGAAACTAAACAGAAAGTCAAGTCAACCACCTAGGCTGTTAAGTATCACTCCACACTGAGCCTGGTCCTAAAGGATGTTTAAAAAAAAAACAAAACATTTTTTTTTAAAGATTTTATTTATTTATCAGAGAGAGAGAGCACAAACAGGGGGAGCAGCAGGCAGAGGGAAAAGCAGGCTCCCCCCTGAGCAAGGAGCCCTGACATGGGACTCGATCCCAGAACCCTGGGATCATGACCCGAGGCGAAGGTGGACGCTAAAGAGGACTGAACAACCCAGGCATCTCAGGATGTAAAAATTTTTTTTTTTTTTTTAAGATTTTATTTATTTGCGAGAGAGACAATGAGAGACAGAGAGCATGAGAGGGAGGAGGGTCAGAGGGAGAAGCAGACTCCCTGCTGAGCAGGGAGACCGATGTGGGACTCGATCCCGGGACTCCAGGATCATGACCCGAGCCGAAGGCAGTCGCTTAACCAACTGAGCCACCCAGGCGCCCCAGGATGTAAAAATTTTTAATGGAAAAAAAATTCAATCTACACAAAGCAATTACAGGGTAATATATGACCATATAACTGTACATATTAGCATTTTATTGCTTTAGTAGTTACACTGAAAAACTGTATAAATATGTATGGAACAAAGCCTATACAAATGAAAACTGTAAGGGCATCTGGGTGGCTCAGTCGGTTAAGCATCCACCTTCAGCTCAGGTCAGGATCTTAGGATCCTGGGATCCAGCCCCCACAAAGTGCTCCCTGCTTAAAGGGGAGTCTGCTTCTCTCTCTCCCTCTGCCCCTCTTCCAGCTCATGCTCTCTCTCTCCCTCTCAAGTAAATAAGGTCTTCAATAGAAAAAAATGAAAATTAATACTAGTATATATGGTAGAGAGGGTAAGTTTTGGTGCCATAATTTCTCCCTTCATGGTGTTTGAGTTAGATCAGCTGAAGTATATCTCTATACCACAATTTAAGCTTTAATAAAAGTCTGCTTAATTAAAACAACAACAAAAAAATCAAAAGGAATTAAGCAGAAGTCCTTAAGTCCTTCATTTACTAATGCTGAACCCTGTGGTTTATTTTAAGACCACATGAAGGGTTAAGAAATTTCTACAATACCTGCTCTTACCTCTACAATCCTAGAAGAAGAAAACATAAAAGTTCACTCTAGACTTCAATACTCTTCAATTCTTAAACTTGAGTTCCCTATTTAAAAACTGTTTAAAGACTGTAATAATGGAAGCACAAAGTGCTCTTGAAAAGTTTGCAATAAAAAATAAATCACATATTGAGACAACTGGATATCCACATGGAAAAGGATTAATTTGGACCCTTATACCTCACACCATGAACGAAACATGCAAAAAGGAATAAAGGGGAAAAAATCTGATAAAATGACTTCACCAAATGTAATGTTTTTATATTTCAAAGGGCACCACTGAAAAAATGAAAAAACAAGTCAGAATGGGAAAAAATATATGCAAATTATATATGATTATGGACTTATATTAAAAAAATATATACAGAACTCTTACACAATTCAATAAGACAAATAATACAATTTAGTAATGGGCAATGAATTTCAACAGGTATTTCTTCACAGAAGACATACAAATGGCTAACAAGTACTTGAAAAGATACTCAAGACGGTCAACACTGATTTTTAAAGTGAAATGCATTATTAAAACCACAAAAAGATACTTCATATCCATCAGAATGGCTAAATCAAAGACAGATGGTAAAAGGTGTTGGTGAAAATATGCAGAACTGGAACCTTCATATATTGTTGATAAGAATGTAAAATGGTACAGTCATTTTGGAATATAGTTTGGCAGTCTCAAACTGTTAAGCTTATGTCCTAGCAATTCCACTCCTGATATCCACCCACCAAAAGAACAAGAAACATGTCCATACAAAAAGTTAGACATGAATGCTCCTACAGTAGCATTATCCAGAATACTCATCAAGTACAAACAACTCAATGCCCATCAAAACTAATGAACAAAATGTGATAAGAGCTATACAGTGTACTATTAATAAAGATACACAAGGTAGTGACACACACTACAAAATGAATCTTGAAAGCATTATGCTAAGTGAAAGAAGCCAGACATAAAACACCAATATATGATTCTATGTGAAGAAAATATCCAGCAAAGGCAAATCTATAAAGAAAACAGATTAGTAGTTACCTAAGACACAGAGGAAAAAGGAGAAATAAATGCAAATGACCACAAGGTTTCTTTTAGGGGAGATAGAAATGTAAAATCACAATGTGAAGACAGTTGCACAGCTCTGAATATACCAAAAATCATTAACTGTACACTTAAAAAAGGCGAAATTTGTGGTAAACAGCTCAATAAAACTGTTAAATAAATCACAACATTTCTATACTAATATTAAAAACCTGGATGTAAAACATGCAGAGAAAAAAGTAAAAATGAGTACTAACCTGTGTTCTGCCTCAAGTGAACTGGAAAGAACATCAGTTTGTGGGAAGGTTGAAGACCGAATGATCTGCTGGGAAATTACTGAGGCATTGCCATTCTCCTGTGGAATTTCATTTTCATCAAAGTTTCGGTTTATATCCCTTTCTTGGTGAGTACTATTGCTGTTATGCAAATTAAATGAATCCTCATCCTGATTTTTAGGGAGTTAAAAAAAAAAAAAAAGAATGAGTTAGAGAATATAGCTGTTGAAAACCTTAAGAGATTCTGGTTAGATTTCCGTATAATAAGTATTATAACCATTAAGTTTAGGAGACCTCCTCAGAAGATATAAAATTAAGCTGTGAAGGATACCCACGGATTTCCGACTCTATGTCTTCACATTTATTCAACAAACGCCATCAAAAGGATTAAAGTAGGCAAGACGGGACAACAGAGAAGAAAACATCATTTTGCATAGAACAAAAGAATGATAAAAATCTACTTCCGAAAGAAGTCATTCTTTATACAAATAGTAAACTAAACTAGCCTTGCTTTCAGGGAGATGACTTTTTTTTTTTTTTAAACAGAGATGACTATTTTGATTAAAGTTTATTCAAAGGTCTTAAATGGTATCTCCCAAATATTTCAGTGATATGTTAATGTCAAACCAAGAGTTACCTTCTCTGAGCCAGCATGACTTTCATCTTCATGTTCTTCTTCTACTCTGTCCCTTTTCAATGCTTTCAAAAATTCACTTTTCTTATCAGTGCGCATACGTGTCAGTTTGGTTAGACGAGGCTGCTGATTAAGTTTGTCAACAGGTGAAGAGGAATTTGAGCGGTTACACTAAGAAAAAAAATTCAGAAATATTAATAAATATGTAGACAGTATCAATATAAAGTTAACTACCACAACTTCCTATTTCACCCTACTCACAATACAAAATTAATTTTCAAGTCTTATTTTCCTCTATCCCTGTTTTATTTATCCCACTGAATGAGTAAAATTTTTCTTATCCCATAAAACAATTAAGGTCTGACACTACTAACAACTATTGTTCTAAATTGAAAGCTTAAATATAATTTTATAAAACATCGTAAACCTATTTAAATATGCCTATAATACATATAGGACAGAATTCTAAGGCTCTAATTTAAACAACTCCAATAAAATCTATTTTATAATTATTTACAAACAGATACACAGAGAAGTTTATCAGGTAGGATTTCACCAAGGAAAATGTTTGTGGCAGAGCAGGAGGGAGATGGGGAGGGACATGTACTAGAGTCCCTTTGTTTCTGGTGTTTTGTTTTGACAGTGGAATACAATAGAAAATAGAATGTTAAAACTCTGTGTCATAGGATTTTTAGCCAAGGAAAATTACCATAATGCCTAACTGTTGGCAATAATGTCTACAGACGATAAGGAATCTAACCCACTATTACCAGCTGAGAATGCTGGTCCTCTCATCCCAGTTCTGAATTTCTAAGTTTACTGGTTTATTAAAAACCAGTAGGGCGCCTGAGTGGCTCAGTTGGTTAAGCGACTGCCTTCGGCTCAGGTCATGATCCTGGAGTCCTGAGATCAAGTCCCGCATCGGGCTCCCTGCTCAGCGGGGAGTCTGCTTCTCCCTTTGACCCTTCCCCCTCTCATGTGCTCTCTCTCTCTCTTTCAAATAAATAAAATCTTTAAATAAATAAATACATACCTACATACATACATACATACCACTAAATGAGGGGCTATGATGTTCCAGTACAGTACACAGGGCAATTTCAAGTGTAGCAACATAGAAACAAATGCCTTTTGACCCTGAACTAATCAGGGAACTCCCTGGTCTCAGAAGCTTCAGAAACTTGGTCCAGTGACAGAGAGATACTTAAGCTACCAGGCATTCAAAGTCCATAAAATAACAATATTCATCTTTCTCTTCCTCCTCTCCTTTCTGGCCCCTTGAGTGTTAACACTAACAAAATGTCCATCATCCCCAAAAGATTGTATGATACAAATCCTCATTTTTAGTCAAGGTTCAATCTTACAGCATAACATAACTATCACAAATGTCAAAATTGCAATGGTCATAATTCTTTTAAAAATCTGTACTTGTGGCTGATTGTTAAGTGGGCATTTCACTGTATTATTTTCTCTACATTTTAGGATACTTGGGAATTTTGTTTAAAAATATTTAAATTATTCCTACTTAAAAGGGCAAAAATGATTAGCAAAGATCAAAGTATCTCAAAGCAAGTCTTCCGAAGGAACGGAAATACCTCATTTTAATATATTCATTTAATGAATCTATGCCTTCTGCCCACTGTTAATTAAATTATCATAATTAAAATATGCTGCATTCCTCAGGAATAATTCCAGATGACATACCTCTTTCACTGAAGTTGTTGATGGACTAAAATTCTTGGCAGTTGATTTAAAAGCATTGAAGTTGCCAACACCATATGTAGACTCATGAGGGAAAGAAGTCCCAACTTTATTTTCTTTAGTTTGGCTTTTCCATTGTGTAGGCTAAAGAAAAACATACAAACATTAATGTGTTTCAAAAACAGATTATACGGAGAACAAAGTGAACCCTACAGTATAAAAATGACTACACATACAACTCATAAAACAATTATTTTTGTATTACATCTTAATCATTCCTACATATTTCTCTTCTATCTTTTCCTACAAATAAAATCAAAGGCTGGCATTCAGATAAAAACATCTGGCTGCAATGTTATTTTTTCAAAGTTTTATCAACCTGAAGTTAGGTTTGCTTTATCAAAAAACACAAGTGGGAACTCCAAAAACATAAAACTGAACACCAAGGTAACAGCACTATATATTATTAAGCATATATATCATAGATTAATCTGGCAAAACGAAATTTTAGATTCCATTTACTACTAGTGAAACAAGAAAACATATACATGGACAAACACACCATTTAAAAAGTAACTAAAATTAATGACACACAATGAGTCAACTCTTCCCACTTAAAAGTCAGTACCCCACCAACAACCCCCTCACTTTGGTGTAAAATTTTTAACATTCTTTTCCTAAGTAACTCAAATTGGTACCAACTTAAAACTTGCATTTTAACAATTTAGAACTTACTTTTGTAGGTGGAGCAGCAGGTTTAGGGACTAAGCCTTTATAAACACTTGGACCAGTCCCGTTCTTAACTGGTTGTGATTGAAGATTTCCTACCACTGGGAATCCAGATAGCTGTAAGTCTTTTGTATTACCTTTCTTAATGACCAGCATCCTTGGAGCTCTAGATTTAGGATTCGGAGGATATTCTGCATAAATAAAGCACAAGCAAGAGTTACACACAGCTTAAATTTTAGCATAAAATTAAATCACCCAAAAAACAGCATATTCCAAACCTTGATTATATTTAAAAATAATAGCTGCTTTCTGGATAAAATAATTAAGCTAAATAAGTATGAGCTATATTCCTGCTTCAGAAATAAAAGCTACAACATAATCAAACAGAATATAGCAAGAATTGAGCAATGTCAAGTAATACAGATGATTTCAGCTCAACAGTGGCCTAGAATATTAACTATGACCAAATCAAGATTAATTTACACTCTAACATTTTTAGTTTTTTTAAATGCAAATTTCACCCTAGTTGTGCCTAAGACTTGGAAGATAAAGTACATTATATTTTTGCCTTTTCCATTTTAAAAAGACATTTTTCCTAATTCCTTCTCATTCTTATCTCACTTACAGTTATTACCAATAAACAAGAAACTACAGTCCCTCTATTTCTAAATTTCTACTGAAGTTATGACTAACAGAAAATAGAATTCTATTTTCACAATACCAAGTCATTCAAATATTTATTGGCCATCTAACTACAATGAAGGCATTATGCAAAAGTTACAGGGCAACGAGTTCAACCCTTCTGAAGATAGTACTACGAATAGCTGCTAACTCAAAGCGTTTTTCTCAAGAAAACTGCAGTTGTTAACATGGAAAACTGCCCACAGAGTTTAGTTTATGTATACCCCTAGAGTTTAGTTAGTGTAGGTGTTACACGTGAGCATGTTCACAATTATTGTGAAGTGTTTCCTCCCTTAGAAAAATTCTCAAAGTATCACTTTCATAGTTGGAGAGCTTAGAGTAAAAGAATGAACTTAAGGGGAGAAAGCTTAGAAAATCTAAATCAAAATTAGCATAACAAGTTGCCTACATGTTTGTGAGGATGCCCAACCTCAAACAAACTAAACCAAACTTTCTACTAAATCATCTCAAAAACTAAACTACACAAGGATTTGGAGGGACATGAAGGTACTCTCAAAGTTTATCTGAGGTTTCAAACTCCTCAAAATATACAGCTGGTACGATGCTTCATTTATTTTAATGGTGAAGTACAAAAGAACAAGGACCTAGAGCAAACAGCAAATCTTTGCACAGGTTAAACATATGGCTCACCTACTAAGGCAAACATTCCAACTTCTTGGAGGCCTTAAAAGACCTAAGAAATAAAGGCTAAGAAAGAAATCTTCAGGCACACAACACAGAAATTAAATAAGCAATATACAGCTTTTCTAAAGAACGTAGAAAATTAACAAAACAAAAATTAAGAATAAAGATCTCAAACACAGGTGAATGCAGAATGCTAGAAATAGCACTAAACAATTTAAGTTTTGCAATTATTACTTCTGGTAAACAGATGATGACAGTGTGAATAAAATTGTAAAAAAAAAAAAAAGAGAAATTAGCAATTCTTAAAATTCAAATTTAAGAGAAATTCTTAACAGCCTGGTATTCAAACTCTAAATGAAACTCAGGAATCGGGAATGAACGGTGCTGGGAAATGCATACGGTATTAAGTTTCAAGGTCTCAGAGAAATTCAAGTGTTGAAGCAGAGGACATTTCTATCAGTACACCACAATTAAAGAAATTCAAACATGACTGAGAAGCACTTCCAGTTCAATATGGCCCATTAAGCACACATTTATCTTCTTTACCTTTTAGTAGGTCCTTATGTTAAAATTACTATAATGAGGGAAGAAAACAAATACAACAGGAAAAGGGTCATCTGCAAGAGGTGATGTCAACCTCACACTTCTGGAGAAAAAAATAAAGAAAAAAACTTTAGCGTATCCACAAAGGAACCTAACAGCTGAGGATGGGACTAATCAGCCTTACAAAATCTTGGATTATAAACAGGACTTGAAAAAAACCATACATGGCAGAGGGCAGAAGTGAAACTTTTGTTCAAAGATCAACCACTAAGAAAAGATCCCTACTAAAGGAAATCCTAAACAATGTACCGCAGGCAGAAGGAAAATGATCCCACATGGAAGGCTGAAGGTTCGAGGAAAAAAAAAAGTAAAATATTTTGTGCATAAACAATCAAAATTAAAAGGTCAAAGAGAAAGAGAATACATAAGCAAAACAGGTATATTATCTTTAAGCCTCAACATAGTACCTGACTACAAAATTCACTTTCCTAAATTTGGATTTTTAGACATCCAGAGCAAGAAATATTCTGGCTTCTTCCTCAAAAAGGCCTTTAGTACAAAGATAAAACACTCTATTAAAAAAGAACGTGAAGAGATGCCTAACTGGCTCAGTCAGTAGAGCATGCAACTCGATCTCAGAGTCGTGAGTTCAAGCCCCACGTTAGGTGTGAAGTGTACTTAAAAAAAAAAAAAAGAAGAAAGGTGAAGCATAATAAATCAATCATAGAAGACTAAGCAGCAAAGTAAAAGATGATAAAGGTACCTAAAGGAAGATGATAGGGTTTGAGAGAGAAAAGCAGCAGACATGGTGCTAATGCACTCATCAGGCATTCATATTCAAATATTAGAGTACAGGTTAAGAACATGTACTGTGTACCAAATTTATAGAATCTTGCTCTAATCTTATGAACTCTCTCATCTATAAAATGAAAATCAATAGTTCCTGTCACAGAGTTACTGTGAAAAGTTTTTTTAAAAATACTAAAAAAAATGTCCAAAAAAGTCAAATACTATCCCCAATACGCTTCCAATTATATTTCAATATTGTATCAAATTTTAGGTTGATTTAACATTATGGAAAATGAGAAAAATTGTGACAGAAATAAACATAATACAGACTAACTTAAGTCCTGTGCAACTATCCTGAATAAACTGAGCCTGACCACTTAAAAATAAGAAAGTGGGGGTGCCTGGGTGGCTCAGTCAGTTAAGCATCCAACTCTTGATTTCAGTTCAGGTCATGATCCCAGGGTCCTGGGATAGAGCCCCTCGTCAGGCTCTGAGCTCAGGAGTCTGCTTAGATTGTCTCCCTCTCCCCACTTGCACGCTCCCTCTCTCTCAAACTAAATAAAAATAAAAACGAGAACGTGTTCTTAACAGCAATCATTACATAAATGTAAAGGGTGATGGCAGCACTAGTTGCCAAACTTAATTTGAGTCATTTATATTCACTTTATATTATGGTTGACCCTTGAATAACAAGGTTTGAACTGTACCAGTCCACCTATATGCAGGTTTTTTCCCCGATAAATAAAAGTACAATTTTCTATTCCTTACGGTTTTCTTAATGTTTTCTTTTCTCTAGCTTACTTTAAGAATATATAATACATGTAATATATAAAATGTGTTAATCACCTGTGCTAACAGTAAGGCTTCCAAACAGCAATAACTACTAGAAGTTTTTTTTTGGGGGGGGGGGTCAAAAGTTACACATGGATTTTCGACTGAGGGGGGAGGGGGCATTAAGGCCCCCAACTCCTGCATTGTCCAAAGGTCAACTATACTTACAAACGTGTTCATCTGTTCAGATTCTCTCTACAAATTCTCCTGACCTAAATCTTCAAAGTACTGAAGCTGTTGGATTCAAACAGTATCCAATGTCTCCTTCTCTACTTTCTCCATTTACTTTGTCAACTAGTAAACTATATGAAAAAACCCAAACTGCTTATTATTTAAAAGAGAAAATTTACGTACTGGCGAAAGACTTTAACACTTAAATAAAAAAGAACTAGAAAGTGCTTCCTTCTGTAAATTACATGACCTTATTATCTCAAGCTCATATAAGCAGGTATTCTTTTACATGTAAGTTTAAAACATCTGGAGGCAGAGTGCCTGGGTGGCTCAGTTGGTTAAGCATCTGCCTTTGGTTCAGGTCATGATCCTGGAGTCCTGGGATCAAGTCCCACAGCAGACTCCCTGCTGAGCGGGGGGAGTCGGCTTCTCCCTCTGTCCCTCCCCTGCTCAGTCTCTCTCTCTCCCCTCCCCTCTTTCTCAAATAAATAAAATCTTAAAAAAAAAACACCTGAAGGCAAATATTGGTTTAAGATTTTCATACCATCATTTTCCACTATCCTCACAAACTGTAATCTAACAGAAACTGACTTTAAATATCCCTTTATTATCTTGTTATTTATGCTCTCCCAAGATTTATGAATATAATAGTCCTTTTCCTTAAATACAAAGTCAATGGTGGGAGGAGGACTAGCTCAATTCTTTGGAGAAAAAGTTATAATTAAAATAGTGCCATCTGTAGCACAAAGTAATTTGGTAACATGTATAGTTAAGAGAGGACATCTCAATTTTTTATCCTGTCTTCCACTACTCTCCATGTAGGTATCTTGAATATATTTTTGGATTCAGTTCCTTATTACTTTATTCTTTGATCTCTCACTTAGAAATTCCTTTTGCTTTTTAATAAATCTACTAGAACATGCACTGCTTACTAGATTTGAACATAACTAACATTCATTACACACCTGTAATGGGATCAAGGATTTTATACAACAAATTGATTTCATAGTTAAATATTTTATACAATTTAATATTAACAATGCTTTTCTCATTAAAATTGTGATCATCCTCGGGACGCCCGGGTGGCTCAGTTAAGTGTCTGCCTTTGGCTCGGGTCATGATCCCGGGGTCCTGGGATCCAGTTCCACATCAGGCTCCTTGCTCAGCGAGGGGTCTGCTTCTTCCTCTGCCTGCTCTGCCTACCACTCCCCCTGATTGTGCTCGCTCTCTGACAAATAAATAAAATCTAAAAAAAAAAAAAAATTTGCGATCATCCTCATCTCACAGAAAATTCACTCAGATTAAGTCATCTGCCCAAAGTCTAAATAACCATTACGTAAGTAAAAGACCTAATGTTTGGACCCAGGTCTATCTGATTCCAAAGCAAATACCCTTAACCACTATATTATACAGTGGAGAAAACGGAAATTAAAGTATTGCTAGGCCAAATACTTCAAAATGTTTACCATCCCCAACTAAAAATACTACTAATAGGCCTATAACTAAATGTTCAGAATGAGAAGCCTGTAAGTGCATACTACCAAGTGAGGTCAAAGTCCACCGTTTTCTGATGCCAAGTTACTGATCTAGGTTCCTTATTATCTTGATCTAAGAAAAGAGGCAATCTGAATGTGTGAACAAAAGCATATAGCCAAATGAAGGGTGAAATACATGTGAATTAAATTTTCACACTAACTTGAAGAGGAAAGTTAGTCACATAAGACACAATACACAAATATCAAACTCAATCTGTACCACAGCAATTAAGACAATTTCCGATTGTGAACACTAATTTTAATGCAGAAAATTAAATGTTTCTGATTTATATAAATTGATGCAGTTTTAATCATTTGGTTTTCAATTTTTTTAAATTTTCTGTACAAATCTGTTTTGATTTATAGAAATGTGAGCCTCAAACAAATGAGATTCACTAACGTATAATTTATGCCAACAGTAGGGGTATGGTGTTTTTAACAAGGTCCCCTACATTATTCACACTTCTCAAAGAATAACAACTTACATGACGAATAAATAATACTTCTAACTCTGACCCACTGAAATTTACTTCTGTCAAATTGTCTAATAAAATCTTATTAATTTTCCCTTTTCAACCCTGAACATATGTTGGAATACCTTTTTCTTCTTCTTGTTACAAGTTTAACAACGATTTTCATAAAAAATATTAAAGGAAAGTGGAGCCATTTCCACATATAAACTATCAAAAGAATGCTTTTACAAAGACATTCAAGAAGGATTATTCCTTTCTCTTAATTCTATTTTACAAAGTTCATTTAAAAAAAAAAAAACTTACTGGTTTTCATCATAACCTAACTCAATATAACATGTCACTCAATCTATATGCTTTTGGCTACTATCACTGGAATTCTCTAGAAAATAACCCATCTTTAAGAAATAGTCACTAATGTGCTTTTAGAAAGCTAAACAAATAAAAATGCTTCATTATCAAATATGAGCAAAAATCAGGAAAGATCAAGTTATCAAGGAAAAGACACAAAAATGCTGAGCTGAAACAAGACTATGCTTAAGTTAATTACCAGTGAATGAAATTTTTCATTATTTAGTATCTTAAGTACTAAATGTTAGCTTCTGCCAGTAATATATTGCTGACATAATCATCAACACAAAAATAGCCAGTAGGACTTCTGAAAACACACAAATCAACAGTCACTAATTATGTCTCAAATAGCATACAAACACATACACATCATTTTTTCTCTTTCTCACCTCCCAAATAAATCAGTCACACAACTTAATATTTTTAAATTGTCACAGGCACACTCAAGTACCTTTTTTAGTTTTAAATTATTAAGGACATAGAGATAATTTTAGTAAGCATTAATCTTAGGCACTCAACAACAGTGATCCTAATTAAGATCAAAATAATAAAGAAGTCACAGATAAAAGCTACATGAAGGTGTTTCCAAAAAAGCTAATTAAGTTCTAAGTAAAATTAAACTTATGTAACTGTATTTTAAGCAGGTTAACTACTTTCCCTCAAATATTTTTTTTTTTTAGCTGGGATATTATTGCTTAGACTCTTGCAATTTCTGATCTACAAAAGGACAGTTTCAGGGACAAACTGGTTTGTTTGTTTTTTTAATACTTATTACATTTCTGTTATTAAATTTTTACTTACCTGGAAGGAAGTAGCACTAGAAAAGTTCTACTGAAGTCTTTCCTAAAATTCTCTCATGTCTTCCTCAGGAACATTGCTATTTTAAATGTTGCAATGGGGAAAACAGTATTTGGGAACCCAGGGGGGAAGTGAGAAAGGAATAGTGAAGTGTAATACAATGAAAACTTCATTGTATTCCTATGGGAAGTACTGGGAATTTAACAGTTAATCAAGCCACAATTAACCATTTTCTTTTTTCTAATGCAGACACACTTCTTAGTTTACCTAAGGCACAGTAAAGAGTACATCTTCCTTTTAAACATCTTTTCAACTAGTGCTCAAAATCCTTAGACCAACCCTGAAACAGCAGAACCAAAATCTTTATATTAATACATTTTATTCTCAATATTTTCAAAGATGTATTTGCCTTTAAATCATTTCTAAAATTATTAAATTAAGCAAGGATCAGTACCAATAGTATCTATAGGTAGTTTTATATGACAAATGCTCACTGACATTGATTTTTTATTTACTTTCATTCTAATCAAATCCAAATTATTCCTAATTTCTTAGAGATTCTATTTAACACCTTCCAGGTGGTTCTATATTCTTAAGCAATCAGCTGTTCCCAGAAAAACTGAATAATAAGGAAACATACCTAAGAGAGGAGCTTGGGAGATTTTTTTGGTTGGGTATGTGTGTGTCTGGGCGTGTAGGCCTGGGGAGAGTGGTAGAAATACTAATTTGCAATACAGAAAAAACAATGCCATTCACATGGTTCTAACAAAAGTGTCTGACCACCCCCACCCCCACCCTCAAAAAGCCCTTAAATAAATCGGGAGATTAAAAGAAAACAAGGTAATTCCCCAGAGTATCACCCCATAAATACAATAAAGAACAGCAGAGGAAGTGGCAAAGTTTAAAATAATGCCTTTGTCATTAAGACTAGTATGCTGTCACAAGCCACAATCCTTTTGTTTTGGTAAGTTGATAATTTT